GTGGCTTCTCCTTGGGGATGTCTTGCAGGAAGTCAGCCTTGCCAGCTGAAGCAGGGAACTGGCTAAGACAGCTGCACCCTGGTGTGACCATCACAAAGCAAGAGACCCGAGAACTAGAAAGGCGCGGCTCATGGAGAAATTTATCCCTCTGCCCTTCAATTAATCCCACATGTGTTTATCGGCCAGGTTGGCACAATTAACTAACTCACGGTCTTAGAAACGCACAGGGCCAGTTCTACCCTGTCCTATAGGGTCGTTATGAGTCGACATCCACTCAATGACAGGGAGCACCTCCTTCCCGTGTCTCCTGTAAAGTGCATGTTGTGGACAAGACAGCGTGTCCCTCGAAGTATTCTGTTGATCGGAGTGGGAGTATCACATATGGCCTCACACCGCCTCCGTATCAGCCTGTGCCCTCACAGCGGCCGTGACAGACAGCTAAGCGGTGACCAGGAAGCATTTTATCTCAGAACTGACCTTTACGTTCCAGGAACCCGAGCGCCTCTCCTGACCAGAGCTAACCCCAAGGGGACGCGGGAGAGGATCCGTGTTTCTGGAAGCAGAGAGTAGTCATTGGGAAGTATTTGGAAGGTCCGTCATGGAGGGAAAAGATGGATGGAATGTGAGTGAGTCCGGCTGGAGTAGTGGTTGCAAGGTGGGCTGCTAACCGCAAAGACAGCAATTCGAAACCCACCGCTAGGGCTTTCGACTCCTGTAAAAAAATTAACAACAACAAAAATGTGACAGTCTCTGAAACTCACAGGGCTGTTCTACCCTGTCCTATAGGGTCACTAGGAGCTCTACCCTGTCCTATAGGGCTGCTATGAGCTCTACCCCATCCTATAGGGCCACTATGAGTTCTACCCTGTCCTATAGGGTCACTAGGAGCTCTACCCTGTCCTATAGGGCCACTAGGAGCTCTACCCTGTCCTATAGGGCTGCTATGAGCTCTACCCCATCCTATAGGGCCACTATGAGTTCTACCCTGTCCTTTAAGGCCACTAGGAGCTCTACCCTGTCCTATGGGAGCTCTACCCTGTCCTATAGGGCCACTAGGAGCTCTACCCTGTCCTATAGGACCTCCACCCTGTCCTATAAGGCCACTAGGAGCTCTACCCCATCCTATAGGGCCACTAGGAGCTCTACCCTGTCCTATAGGGCCGCTAGGAGCTCCACCCTGTCCTATAGGAGCTCCACCCTGTCCTATAGGGCCACTAGGAGCTCTACCCTGTCCTATAGGAGCTCCACCCTGTCCTATAAGGCCACTAGGAGCTATACCCCATCCTATAGGGCCAC